AAGGTAAATATCTCCTGTGGAACTTAAACTTCGCACGTGAACATTTTTTGTTGTAGCTCATGCTAAAGAAACCACGCTAGTAACCATGAAGTTCACCCACGCCCCCCCCCCCCCCGACCCTAAAAAACCCAAATGTTTTTGCGCTCCCTCCAAGCATTTGAACATGCATGTTACATTTCTAAACTTAAGCTATTTACAAACGAGCTCAGTTCACTTAAAATATAAAAATCTCTCTCTCTCTGTCTCTCTCTGTCTCTATAGCTATCTCTCTCTCCCCCCCCCCTCTCTCTCTCTCTCTCTCTCTCCCTCTCTCTCTCTCTCTCTCTCTCTCTCTCTCTCTCTCTCTCGCTCGCTCTCTGACTTAATCTTTCCTCCCCCCTCACAGTGAAACCGTATGCCCATGGCTGGCTACCCGCTCCTCTCCACCCGATTATGTGGAAAACGTAGAACGGCCATGACCTGTCTTGTCTTATCCTTTCGAGCTCATTCCAGTCTGATACTATCTAATTCCACACTCCACCTAGCTTTATTTTCCGAGCCAAGGTAAATATCTCCTGTGGAACTTAAACTTCGCACGTGAACATTTTTTGTTGTAGCTCATGCTAAAGAAACCACGCTAGTAACCATGAAGTTCACCCACGCCCCCCCCCCCCCCGCCCTTAAAAAGCCCAAACATTTTGCCCCTCCACAGACAGACAAATCCAAAACAGCGCTGATTACATATACACATAACATTTATACAAAAATGTAATTAACACATCAATTAGAAGCCTGTAACAGGTCAAGCAATGCCTTAGATAATTCTTTTAAAATGTGTATGGCCGGAGCTATGCAAATGTAGTATTTAATTATTGTGATTCAAACCCTGATGTAGGGGTACATTTCATTTTTTTCAAAATATGACTATATATTATCGAAATACCCTGTACTGTGGCTGTACGAATGATATTAAATTTGCTTTTGTGCTATCCTGAATCTAAAGATAGTATGTATGCATGTTCCTTTATTTGTGTTTTGTGTTAAGATGATGGAATCGCTGTAGTATTGTTCGGGAGTGGGTCGTAACGAAACCTACATTCTTCTTCTTCTCCTTCTTCTTCTTCTTCTTCTTCTTCTTCTTCTTCTTCTTCTTCTTCTTCTTCTTCTTCTTCTTCTTCTTCTTCTTCTTCTTCTTCTTCTTCTTCTTCTTCTTCTTCTTCTTTATTATTATTATTGTTATTATTATTATTACTATTATTATCATTATTATATAATAATAATAATAATAATAAATTGATAAGAATAATAATAATAGTAGTAATAATAATAATAATAAAAATAAAATTATTATTATTATTATAACTACAGTGACCGAGGCAACTGGTTCAGTCCCGTTCTGTCTCTCAGCCTTACCATGCCGACATTACAAGCTTTTTAGATCTAGTCTATGTGTCTAATTGTCTCAAAATCATGGGGTTTTGTTTCAGGCCATGCGAGGTCGGGGCGATTCAAATAGATAGTTAATTTACTGATAATACTAATTTTGTTGCTGATGTTTCTAAAGTTTAAGATAGACAAAACAATTAAAAATAAATCAGTATGTACAGAGAAGTATCACTCTAAAATAGCACATGTTCAAGCGTTGTCGAAAAATCATACATGTACATGTATATTATTAGAATTAAAGTAGGCCTATGGTTGTGATTGTTTTTATATATCTGACTGATCTAGGTTTTTTCTTCTGGCTGTGAAATAGTTTATCCTGTGTGAATGAATTATTACTTTTCAGACGATTGATGTAAAGCGCTCTGAGCTTATACTCATATGGGATAGAGCTCTATTTAAATGCAGTCTATTATTATTATTGTTATAATTATTATAATTATTACAATTATTATTATTATTATTATTATTATTATTATTATATTATTATTATTATTATTATTATTATTATTATTATAATTGTTTTCATTATCACCATCATCATCGTCTATCATCATTATCATCACCAATCATCATCATCATCATCATGATTATCATCATTGTATAAAGAAGGTATTAAAACAGTTAAGACCTTGTTGTATTTCCCAAAAAAATATATTATCATCATCATCACCATACTGCGCGTCTTCGGAGAGTCAATATCCCATAGTTCCTGAGTTCTGTAGGCTGATCGTGAGCCTTCTAACGTTTAAGGACTGCTCTCTCCAGACCCAACAGAGGCATCTCCACGAACACAGACAGGAGGTAGCCCACCGCGTACGACATCACGTAGAAACCAAAGTAGTGGTAGATCTAGAACACAGTCATAAAAAAGAACATGTTATTGTAAATTTTAATTTAATTCAGAATGTTATCACTGAGAGTTAATGGGGACATTAATTGTTATACAATCATGGCGTTCTCTACGTAGTAAAGTACGCTATGTATTCAATGCAATTGTGTAACGGTGTTATGATATAGAACATTATGATCAGATCTTTAAGAAAAAATTCCTCTCACATGCTACCTTCACCCCCCCCCCCCCCTCTCTCTCTCTCTCTCTCTCTCTTTTCCTTTCTTCCACTCTCTATTTCTCTCTCTCTCTCTCTCTCTCTCTCTCTCTCTCTCTCTCTCTCTCTCTCTCTCTCTTTCTTACTCTTCGTATCTCTCGCAGCCCCGCCTCACAATTTTTATCTTCTTTTATCTGTCTCTCTCTCGCCTATTGTTCAGACTCATTAAATCACAGTGACACCGAGACATTCAGGATTCTTTAAAGGTTACACTTCTGTACTATAGCCCCCCAGGCCTGTCCCGTTTGAAGTTTCTCACAAATCAGCCTGTTTGTGCATTAGTTTAAAAAAAGAGGAGGTCAGTCTGCTTGTCACTTCACTCGTTCCAGAAAACCCTAATCTCTTACGATCTAGATTTATGGGATCCCCTATGTAATGAGACAGTGAATGACAGAGTGAAAGTAAAGTGTTACAGTAATGAATTTGACGCCTTAACTTTGTCAAACATCTATTGATAAGACATGATAAGACGCACACCGTCTTTCGAGAAATAAGGAATAACTGCAGTATTTCACTGTCACTTCTGAAACGTATTATCTGGGCTAGATTCTAAGTTCTCTGTTTGTTTTTTTTATGCTTAAGCACGATGACCCAGGGGCTGCTAGTAATTAACTAAAGAATTTCACAGAAAAGTATGGATCCATAGTCGTAACAAGCAGTGCAGTGGAGTCAAGCACTATCACTAACAAGGTTGTCTTTGATGTGACACATTCTCGTTCCTTCAACATAGAGCGACTGTTTGTTTGATTTGATTTTTTTGTTTGTTTTTGTTTTGATTTTTTTAGAAACGTAGTCTTTATTACATGCTTACTTTCAATTCCAGAAGAAAGTTTAAGTCAAATGTGCCACCCAAAGTTTCTTTAATCCAATGTCCTGACTTAACACCCTACCCCTACTCCCACACATATAAACAAATGTACACGTATGCAAGCACACACATACGCACACTCACTCACTTTCTCATTCAGACACACACACACACACACACACACACACACACACACACACACACACACACACACACACACACACACATACACACACATACACACACACAAATACGCATACACAGACAAATAAACAAACAGACTAACAAACAAGTACACAAACACACACCCAAACTTAATAACAAAAAAGACGGGGAAAAACCCCATTAAAATATCAAAAAATAAAAGAAGTATAAAAATATTAGATGGTAAAATAAAAACAAACAAACGAGACGCCAAAACAGACATAAACAATGGGAACTCAAAAGAAAAGCTTGAAGAGCAAATCATAACCAAAAACCAACCCCCCCCCCCCCCACCCCTTTCCTCTCCACAAAAAAACCGCTTTGGGAGAGAGAGGTATGATAGAAACAAATCCAAGACAGCAGTACACATAAGTAGACGTAACATCTTGATGATTTCTTACCAGTAGGTCTATGGTAAAAATAGTGTTGTCCTGGCGAGCTTGAACTTCGAAGTTGATAATTGTCAAATGGACGAGGTAGGCGCCATAGCTGAGACGGGACAGAGGGAGGAAACCTTCCCACGACAAGATGGAGTTGATGAATCCTGTATGTGTGTGTGTGTGTGTGTGTGTGTGTGTGTGTGTGTGTGTGTGCTTGTGTGTGTGTGCTTGAGGGTGTGTTTGTGTGTGTGTGTGGGGGGGGGGGGGGGGATTTTATAGTGTGTGCGCTCAAAAGCTTTCATATTCATTTAAAAACACATTTCCGTGTGGATTTTTTCAAAAATAACAATTTTGGTTAAATGTAAATTTTCAGTTTTGAAGTACCCTCAAGCTATGGAAGTCATCATACTTTTGCGGTCATTTCCTTGTTAGTTTTACTACTCAGACCAGATGACCCCCACCTCTGACATTCGTAAACACCTCGACTTCAATTCAAGATAGATGAGTATTTTCTTTCATCGAAAGGAAGACACATAAACAAGCTTTAAGAAAATACTAATAACTCTATACCCCCAAATTGACATGCGCTTTAAGATGATACTATGTAACGCCATACGACCAAAATTGACTTGCGCTTTAAGATTATACCACAATAACTCCATATGCCCTAAAATTGACGTTCGCCTTAAAATGACCCAATATGCCCCAAAATTGACGTGCGCCTGCTTCTACCGTGTCGTGACATATAATGTAGGGAACACGTACCTCCGTAACCTGAAGAGCATGCCAAGACGATCCAGCCAATGATCAGGGCCCAGACAGGACGAGAGAACGTCTCGTGAATGAGACGCCCCGCCATTGGCCAGCCCTCCATGATAGTCGCCATGTCGTTGTTCTCGTCATAGGTCACCAGGGTGATGGTCGCCGTGAGGCCAATGGCCACCAGCCATCCCAGCACCACTACGACCTGATAAAAGACGTTCGCTTTCATTTAAGTTTAAGTGTATGTGTTTGTGTGTGTATGTATGTGTGTGTGTGTGTGTGTATGTGTGTGTGTGTGTGTGTGTGTGTGTGTGTGTG